CTACTCACATGATGTTTCTCTAACCACGGACTCCAGAAAGAGCCAGTTCAACTTTCCCAAATCAAACTATTCAAATACTCTGACTAGTCAGCAGACTTCCGAGATAAAGAATCCTATTCTAATGACTGAAGAGTTATACATTAATAACGGGGATGAGACCTCTGTTCAGGTGAGCAGATATTTTGGCGCTTTCTTATTTGTGTTTAGATATAAGGACTTTTGAATATATAGCAATATTCTAAATGTATAGGAGGGGGGTGTTATATTCAGCATAATGCACATGTAATTCATTTGGAAGTGTTTTGGAAACCATTGTAACTCCCGGAGCATTTGGTCAGACCTTATAAATTTTGTTTTGTGTCACAGAAAAGACATATCTTAATTCACTTTACGAGTTCTGATGAAATAATAATTCATTTAAAACCTGGCACTATCTTTATCTATGATAACGGATACTTTTCATTGCCTGAAATAAGATAAAGGTATTCAGGCATATTTTTAAAAAAAGATTGGCAGAGAATATGAACGGTGTTTTAAAGCAGAGTGAATAGGTATCTGCTTGGCTGTCAATATTATTTTAATTTACAAATCAGCTTACTTGAATTCCAATTTGATGTTATTGCAAACTATATGCCCTCAAAATCCATGAGGAAATTAAGGTTATGTTATTCTGAGAGGTATTGGTGACTGCAGCCATCATAAACCTCTTTGAGACTGGGTGTGAATACACTTTTCAAGTAACGTAGCTGTCAGTATAAGTTAATGGGAAGCCCCTCACCTAAAACAAAAGGGGGTTGTGAACCCACCCGGAAGTTTGGAGTGAGTGGGCGGAGGGCTGTTGCTGAGTAATGTTTGTGTGGGGGGATGGAGGAGAGGCATAACGCACAGACACTAAACTGAGAGAACTTTTGAGTCTGGTGTTGGCTAAAGAGTCTTGGGTCTATAAACTGAGAAACTGATCCTTTTTTTCTTCGGTCCTCCTGTCTTTGGAGAAGAAGGTCTTTGTACATTCACTGTAAATAAATAAGTCTGCATCGAAGAAAATACCAGACTCCATCAACTTCTGCTTCCAGCTGAAACCTCCCCAGGGCCCAGAAATTTGACCAGCAGCTGGAGTGAAAAGGGAGCAACAGTTATAAATAGTTATTTAGGATGAAGATACTATTTGAACATTTTTTTCATTTCTTGTAATAATAATATTCTTGTGTCCTAGTTTGGGGCCCTGAGAAGTTGCCATATATGTGTGGCAGATTATACTAATGCTTTTAAACATAGCTAATATTAGAAGAAATATTCTAACGTTTCTTATCATGTTTATCTAGGAAGAGATATGTTTTTCAACACCACATGGATTAAAAATAATTTTAAAATGTCTAACTGAAATTTCCACGGTGAGTGGACCGATAATTATAGATAACTTATCAGTCAGTGGTGTACGGATATTTGACAGTATTATTTTATCTTTGCATCGTAGGGCAATTTTTAATATACGGATTTACTAGGACTGATTTTACCTTTCCAGAGATGCTTCAAATCTGGAACACTTCAGGGTATGTTTGGAAACCTTTTACTGTGCTTTTTAGTGCAGTTCTGTTTCTGTAGGAGAATTCTGCCTAGTATGTATTTATAGTACAATTTGAGAATGGAAACTTTCCTTTGTTGCTTTAGAAACACTCTGTGTATTGTGAGTGGACCAAATAGTTTGAAGGAAAAAGAGAAGCTAAAACGGGCAATAAGACTCTAAAGCTAACTCAGAAAATGGCTTAGTTCAGAAGTTTACTTTGAGGGTTAGAGTCCGCGGCTACTCATGTGCGCTCATGTCATTCACGTGTTAAAAATGCTGACTCTGTCAAACAGTATTGGCTGTGTCTCACGGGTATTAGTGATTATGGTAGATGTGATTCTTTAAATAGAACTTGTTGTGAATGTTGGAAAGTTCTCCTACCTATTCATATTCAGATATACAGATATAAATATACTGAAAGAATCACTGTCACCACATACACACAAACGATACAGAAAACTCAAGAATGTCCGAGGTTTGCACTATCCATGAATGGCTACACACAAACATACGTACACAGTATTTATAGTCGAGACTTTTACATCTCATCTGTGATTCACTTGTTTACAATTAAGAGAAATCGTTTTATAACACTGTACACTTAGAATACGTTTTGAACAGAAAAAAAATATCTCCCACGAGAGTCCTAGAGCTGCTTCGTCGCCCATAATAAAATCACTGCTATTGCAGTTCTCGGGCTGAGACTCGGAGTGCCGCTGTTGGCCAATGCGGAGCCAGGGCTGGAGCCGGAGATCCATCCGAGCCTCCTGCAGTGCGATTGCTCTGTCACACAGCGCAGATCGCAGAGGAAACAACAGAGAGACCTTCACAGTCCGGCTGAGAAAAAGGAACCGCCACAGAGCGCTCTGTACAGCTAAGAAGACAATCAGGACTCTATTTGCACTACGTGATCGCACATTTCTTCAACCGGAAGGGATTAATGAAAACAAAGAAGACAGCAAGAATAGTGCAGATCTGACAGGGACCGGGATGGAAATCAGACGCCGAGAGCCGGGCCGGGCAGTCACACGGCAAGTACTGTTATTTCCCTTCTTATTGTCTTTGTTTTGCCGGGCGGTCTCGGAGCAGATTCGTTATTCGATTCCTGAGGAAATAGCGAAAGGTTCCCTTGTGGGGAATCTCGCCAAGGATTTGGGACTGAGTGTGAGAGAACTGCCCAACCGGAAGCTCCGTGTTGTCTCTGCAGCTAAAAAGCAATACTTCAGCGTGAATGGGGAAAGTGGCAACGTTTATGTGAATGACAGGATAGACCGGGAAGAGATATGCGGGACATCTCAACTCTGCGTCATAAATTTCGAAACTGTGCTGGAAAATCCCTTGAATGTTTTCCACGTAAATGTCGCGATCCAGGACATTAACGATAATGCCCCGCGTTTCTTAAAAGATAATATCAAACTAGAGATTATTGAATCTACTTTACTAGGTGCCCGTTTTCTTCTGGGCAATGCTGAAGATCCTGACGTTGGAATGAACTCTCTGCAGAGTTATCAGTTGAGCCCCAATCAAGATTTCATCCTGGAAGTCAAAGAGAGCCAGGATGGCAATAAATATGCAGATTTAGTGCTGCAGAAACCCCTGGATCGGGAGAGCCAGAGCAGCCTTCACTTGATCCTCACGGCTGTGGATGGGGGAGAGCCGCAGAGAACTGGGACCGCCAAGATATGGATTAATGTCACCGACGCCAATGACAACCCCCCCATCTTCACACAGGAGCTCTACAAAGTCAGCCTGAGGGAAAATGCACCGACGGGCTCCTTAGTGCTTCAGGTTAAAGCCACCGACAACGATGAAGGTTCAAATGCTCAGATCAGCTACATTATTAACAAGGTATCAGAAAAGACCCTTCAGAAATTCAGCCTGGACTCAGAAAATGGAAAAATCACAGTAAAGGAGCCCTTGGACTTTGAAGAGACACGTGATTATCGCATGGCAGTAGAAGCAAAGGATGGAGGCGGACTAGTGACACACTGCAAAGTGGAAATAGAAGTTATTGATGAGAACGACAATGCCCCCGAAGTGACATTCACATCTGTGTCCAGTCCTGTCCCAGAAGATTCAGTACCTGGGACAGTGATAGCTCTGATCAGTGTTAATGATCTAGATTTTGGAGATAATGGAAATGTCTCATGCCATTTACTGGATGATTTTCCGTTTACTACAATGTCGTCTTCTAATAATTACTACAAGCTCCTCACAGACAGCACCCTGGACAGGGA